ACAGAAAACTTCCCTAACTTGGTGAAGTCCAGAAAGTGCAGAGTCCCAAACAAGATGAACCCAAAGAGGCCCACACCAAGACACATCATAATTAAACTGCAAGAGACTAAATACAAAAAGAGAATTTTAGAAGAAGCAAGAGAAAAGCCATTAGTTATCTACAAAGGTGTTCCCATAAGACCACCAGCTGATTTCTCAACAGAAGCTTTGCAGGTCTGAAGAAACTGGTAAGAAATATTCAAAGTGATGAAAAACAGAGGACATACAACCCAAACTACTGTACCAAGCAAAGCTGTCATTTAGAATCAAAGAACAGATAAAGGGCTTTTCAGACAAGAAAAAAAGTCAAAGGAGTTCATTGCCACAAAACCAGTATTACATGAAATATTAAAGGGTCTCCTTTAAGAAGAAAAAAATAAAAAATATGAACAATAAAATAGCAATAGATATATATCAAAAATTGAACCTAAAAAATAAAGTAAATGAATAAGCAGAACAGAAATAGACTCATAGATACAGAGAACATTTTGATGGTTGCCAGAGGGGAAAGAGGTTGGGGGCTGGGTGAGAAAGATGAAGGGATTAAGAAGTACAGATGGGGACTTCCGCCAAGATGGAGGCATAGGTGGAGACGCCATGCTTTCTCACACAACCAAGTTTAGAGACAACTAAATATCAGCAACAGAAAACACAGCCAGAACACAAAAAATTGAACTTTTCGCAAGTCTGTTAACAACAAATTCTTCAGCCTGACCGGTAAGGGCCGAAACCAGCAGCTGGTGGAGCGGGGTTGCACAGGAAAACTTAATCAGACGGACTCAGGCTCGCGGAATCCAGGTGCAGGGTTGGACCTAGTGAGAGACCCAGCGACCGCGGGGAAACAGCGAGGGAGCAGGGCTGCGGGTTGACTGTGGTCACGCATTCATGTGTGGATAGACAAGCGAGGGAGTGGGCGATTGGACCGAGACCCAGCGGTCCCCGCGGCCATCGGCAGCAGAGGGCGTCGCCATTTCCCCGCTCTGACCCCACTTCCACATACAGCGTCATAACCCAGCCACTCTGAGTGGCCCAGCCCTGGTGAACCACCTGAGGCTCTGCTCCTCACCCAGTGGCACAAAACAGCAGAGGGGGCCACCATTTCCCCGCTCTGACCACGCCCCCACATACAGCATCACAACCCAGCGACCTGGGAGTCCAAGGCTCCACTCCTCATACTTATCAGGCGCGAACAGACCAAAAATGGCTCAAGAAGATCTCAAAGCCCCAGAGCCTATAAATCTAAGCAATGAAGAAATAGCAAAACTCTCAGACACACAGTTTAAAACACTGGTGATCAGGATCCTCACAGAACTGGTTGATTATAGCCACAAATTAGAGAAACATATGAAGGTGAAACTAATTGAAATGAATGGAATTGCACAGGAAACCAATAGCGATGGAAAGGAAACTGGGACTCAAATCAATGGAGTGGACCAGAAGAAAGCAAATAATGGTCAAACAGAAAAGAGTGGAGAAGCAAGAATTCAAAGAAATGAGGAGAGTCTTAGGGACCTCCAGGACATCTTTAAACGCTCCAACATCCGAATCATAGGGGTACCAGAAGGGGAAAAGGAACAGCCACCAGTGGAAAACTTATTTGAACAAATAATTAAGGAGAATTTCCCCAATCTGGCAAAGGAAATAGACTTCCAGGAAATCCAGGAAGCTCAGAGAGTCCCAAAGAAGTTGGACCCAAGAAGAAACACACCAAGGCACATCAGAATTACATTAGCCAAGATTAAAATGAAGGAGAGAATCCTAGAAGCAGCAAGAGATAAGGGGACAGTCACCTACAAAGGAGTTCCCATCAGACTGTCAGCTGATTTCTCAAAAGAGACCTTACAGGCAAGAAGGGGCTGGAAAGAGGTATTCCAGGTCATGAAATCTAAAGACCTAGAACCAAGATTGCTCTATCCAGCAAAACTTTCATTTAGAATGGAAGGACAGATAAAGTGCTTCTCAGATAAGATCAAATTCAAGGAGTTCATCATCACCAAGCCCTTATTATATGAAATGTTAAAAGGACTTACCTAAGAAAAAGAAGTTAAAAAAGCTTGAACAGTGAAAGGACAGTAAACTCACAGTTATTAACAACCACACCTAAAACAAAAGCAAACTAAAAGGACAGCTAGATCAGGAGTGGAAACATAGAAATGAAGATCTCAAGGAGGGTTAGCAACCAGGGGAGTGGGAGGAGGAGAAGGGGGGAGAAGGTACAGAAAATAAGTAGCATAGACAGTAGATAGAAAATAGATGGGGGGGCAAGAATAGTATGGGAAATATAGAATCTAAAGAACTTGAGACACATGGTCATAAACTAAAGGGGGGGTAATGGTGGGGATGGGGGGTAGGGTGGAGGGGAATGAAGGGGGGAATAGAACAACTGTAATGGCATAATCAATAAAAAATAAATTTAAAAAAAATTGAAAAAAAAAGAAGTACAGATGGGTTGTACAGATTGAAGAGTCATGGGGATGAGAAATACAGCATAGGAAACATAGTCAAAATATTCTAACAACTGTGTGTGGGGTCAGATGGGTACAAGATTTATCAGGATGGTCACTTAGTAAGCTATGTAATGTCTAATCACTGGGATGTACCCCTGAAACTAATATAATAATGTATATCAAGTGTAATTTAAAAAATGTTTCAATGAAAATAATGCAAAGAAGCACTAACTGCCCAAAATTCAAAGTACAAAAGAAGCTTTTATAGGTGTGGTTTATTTACTTTTTTTTATAATGCCTGATCTTATTAAGAACAAAAGTGTTCTTCAAAATTTTTCTATCATTTTTTTATTTTTCAATTACAGTTGTAGGAGTGTCCTTTTAAAAAAACATGTGACCATCGAGGCCCTGGCTGGTGTAGCTCAGTGGATTGAGCACGGGCCTGAGAACCAGACAGTCGTGGTTCGATTCCCAGTCAGGGCACATGCCTGGGTTGCAGGCTGGTTCCCTGCAGGCCAGTTCCCAGCAGGGGATGTATGAAAGGCAACCGAACATTGATGTTTCTCTCCCTCTCTCTGTCCCTTCCCCTCTAAAGATAAATAAATAAAATCTTAAAAAAAACAAACATGTGACCATCGTTGTGGGCTGTTTCCTCCTATTTTTATACCCAGTCCCCTTTTCTCTTTTCTCTCTGATATAGTTGCTGCTAAAGTTCAAATGCTCACTCTCCCAGTATTTCTTACTGTTCTGCATGAAATACATAACAGAATTGGCAATGGGATAAGGTTGGTCCTGAATTCTGCCTTAAATGTTAATATAGTGGCCTAAGCTGCAGAATAAATTTCAGCAGTTCAAAGATAGCAAGGCAATGTGTCTATGAATCTTTCAGCCGTTCTCTCATGCTTTTTACCTCATAGTCACAGAATAGGTGCTGCTGCTCAGTAAATTCATTCATCTCTTAGTATCACCAATTATCCAGTGAGTTTCATATTTTCTTGATAATTGTTTCCCACAACTGATTGTTAGAAGCAGAATCATATCACATTTGGTTATTTTTAACAATAGTATGTGCCTTAAGCCCCAAATTTATTTTTATGAGATAAAAATAAATCCTTATTTGTTTAAGCTGGGCTTATTGGAATTTTATACCTCTTGTAGCCAAACTGTAATACTATATACAATTTCTAAAAATTAAAATTTATTTTCTCTCATTAGCAAATTAACACACTGCTTATAGAAATCTTAATAAATACAAAATAGTAGAAAAAGAAAAGAAAATCAGAGTCCCATCACTGAAGTGCTGGTAACATTCTGACATATTTTCTTCCAGTGTTATTTGAATAGTTGTGTTAACAGAGCAGTAACAAGTTTGTGTCCTTTTCTGCCTATCATTTAAAAGCTGCATTTTGGGGGTGATAAAAATATTCTAACATTGATTTTGGTGATGATTGTACAACTCTATGAAGACAGTAAAAACCACTGAATTGTGCACCGTAAGTGAACTGTGTGGCATATAAATTACATCTCAATGAAGCTCGCATATGAACTTTAGATGAGGATTTCCTACTACAATAAATCCACTGCTAACATTTTAATTATTGCATAATCATCTATCCATAGGCTTTACTTCAATTTAGTAAACTACTCTTCTGTTGTTCAATAATTGGGTTGGTTCCATATTTTGACTTACCATGACATTGCTACAAATTCATTGCACTTAAATATTTCTTTATCTAGAATTAGTTCCTCCCAGAGATAACAATACTGGGCCAAAGTGCAACATCACTTAAGCACGTACTGAGCTTGCACCGGAAGCTCGCTGCCAGTGCGGTGTGGGCTGCATTGACTCTGTTCGCGTTATTTCTTCAACTCTTCATCAGCCTAAGAGGTCTATTCTGTCTCTATTTTCAAAACCGGAAACTGAAGCTCAGAAAAGACAACCAAGTCGTCCGATGTCACAGAGCCAACCTACAGAGGAGCCAGGCGCCTGCGCAGCTCTGGTCCCAGAGGCTGTGGGGACTCCCTCAACAAGACCCGACTTTGGCAGACCTTAGTAGTTTCAATGGTGAAAATGCTATCATTTTCTAAATTGTTTTTGGATGACTTTGGATCTTTTCTGTAGTTGCCAAATCAGACATACTTATTTTGTTGTTGTTAATTACGCGATGCGGCCTTTCTATACAATTTGAAGATTGAATAACATGTGATTGGTGCCTTGTTGCCATCATTAAAAAGAAGAAAGCTGGCACAGTTTCCTTCTTCGGAGCGCGCTCCCATGTAGAAGCATCTTTAGTGGTCGGCATGCCTCACGGAATTCCCTGTGACCCAGCTCTTTGCCACGAGCCCGGCTCTGTCCGTTGTCCCTTCCACCTGGCTGATCCTGGATGCAAAACGCCAGAGCCGCGGAGGCACCGGACAATGCCTGGCTGCGGGGCTGGCCCTCCCCTCCAGCGCAGTCCCGTTCTTCTCCAAGCAGGCTGACTCGGAGCAATCATTGCTCTGCTCCTGAAGCGCTTAACCCAAGAGTGGCTTCTTTTCCACAGTTATGTAGACAAATACCACAATGATGAAGATGACGAACACAGCAAGCCACACGCCCACTGGAAACCTCTCTAGGACCCTGCCCCCAGCGCTCCAGTTTATTGCGAAGCAGTCTTTCTCTTCAGTGTCACTCAGTCCTTTGGGTCTGGTGTCTGTTGCTCGGGAGACCCACCTGTGAAAACATGAGTGCGTGGGGCTGAGCACCCCCTGAAAGTGTGTGGCCTCTGGGCTCAAGGGAGCAGCCCTCCCGGGGCTCTATCATGGGAAACCCATGCTAATTTTAACAACGATGTTGACAGAGTGTGGCGAGGACGCGAGGTCGCCAACAGCCCCACCACCCAGCATTTCTTTCTCACCATCACCCACATGTGTAGTGTTTTTCAGTGGTGGCCCAAGGCCTGCCTCGGGGACCTATGGACCCCCAGTCTCTCCTGGGCCCTGTGAGAGCCAGGTGGGGGACCGCAGCACACAGGCCGCCCTCCCTCTCTTCACAGGTCTAAGCGCAGACCTTCAGGGTAAAGATGGGAGGTGCTTTCAAAATGTACTTATTCTGTATTTAAACAAGAAAGAGGATACTTTCTGAAATCTTTTAGAGAGAGTCTCATGTTTCCACTAGTTAAATCCTGGAAATGGGCTGAAGTTTATTCAGAAGTTAGGAAACTTTCCAGAAAGCTTTATTTTCTGACTAATAAAATGGCCAGTCTTGAGCTTTTATTTCAATGACCTATACTTTTTTCACCCTTCTTTCCCCATTTTCCAAGACACAAAGAATAAATGTCTACAAATCAAGAAGCTTGGGTGCTGGTCTCAGTACATTGTGACTTTTGGATTCCCCTTGACCGCTCCGGTATCTAAACCTAAGCGGCAACTAGAGATTTTTGTAAGGCCCCTTTACTTTTAAAGTGAGATATTGCCCTGACTGGTGTGGCTCAGTGGGGTGGGCATCCTCCTGCAAACCAAGGGGTCGCTGGTTTGATTCCCGGTCAGGGCACATGCCTGGGCTGTGGGCAGCAACCCCAGTTGAGGGCGCGGGGGAGGCAACCGATGTATGTTTCTCTCCTTCTTGCTCCCTCTCTCTTCCTCTCTCTAAAAAATAAATAAAGACATTAATTCTTTTAAAAATAAAATAAAATAAAATATTATGAATCTTCTTTTTGAACAGATTGTTTTCTAGACTCAAACCTTTCACAAAAATCTGAAGAACAACTCTTTCAGAAGTTACATAAGTCTATCAGGTCTCCTCAGATGCTAAGAAAAGTATTACCTGATTTTCTCAGAACACTTATGACCCAGCCAGCAGGTATCTTGGGCTTTTGGTTTAGTGCTGGAAGCCTTGGGTCTCTAATGAACAGAAACAAAATATCAAGAAGAATTTATTTACCAAGAAAACCGTACTTATCAAATTATCAAAAATAACGATAGGCCTCACAGTACAGTGTCTAATGTCTTGTACGAAGGACCTTATTTTTTGTTCTAGAAAAAAATTGTATACTCTGGGGACTAAGAAAGTTTTTGGTACCTCAAATGTTTTAGTACTTAATAATATGAACTTCAAGTTTGCCTTTAGTCAGTATTAGCAAAAACTTCCCATTCTCCCATTTCCATAGAGTAACATTTTACTTCGATGACTCACACGTGAACAATAGACACACCAGTGACAGAGGCCATGTGACAGAAGCAGCATTTTGTTCTTAAATATCATCTTTCTATTTTGCTCTCTTATTTGTACTTTTATTACTTGGAGCTTTTTTTGTGAGCATGCATCATTTCTATACAAAGACTAAAGTTATTTTAAAAACCAACTTGGCTATGAACGAGGACTAGAAAATAATTTAGAGAAATGAAAATGTTCTGTAGAAGGAACAGAAGCAGGGACACTCATCTTTTCTTTTTCCAAAAATTTATCTGTTGGTTTTTTTCCAATAAAGTAAAAATGCATAGCTCCCTTTGCCTTGTTTTCTCTCCATGAAATAAAGTCGTAAAGATTAAGTGGCTTAATCTATGCAAAATTACTAAAACACTTAATGATATATAGTAAGCACTTAATAAAAAGCACTTAGTAATAATGATTATGATAATAATAATTACTATTAATTTCATGTTGCCATTTGTCCTCACTTGTCTGATCTTTCTTGATTGTCTATTCATACTTAATATTCAGGCCTTAACATCCTCCAGTGTCTGCAATGTCCAGGAATGAGAAGACGCGGTGTCAGATGGTGCTGCCAACCGCCATTTACTGAGTGCCTGGCCCATTACCATTCACTCCCCAAGGCCTCCGAGACCACCCGAGCCTCATCTGGTAGGCACTGTCACCGCTCCAGTTTGGATATGCTGAGTCTGGGGGCACAGAAAGCTTAAGTGGCCAGCCTAAGGTCACATAGCGTTGTCAGTGGAGCTCTGTCCTGGAACCACTGTGCTAGACTCCTCTCCACTCTTCAGTGTCTAAATATCACTTCCCTCCTGCAAGAAGTCTTCTGTATTCCTCTCACCCCCTCAGATCAGTTGTCTGGTCTACAACTCTTCAGCCCTAATAAAAAACGTTCTTTACTTTATTTCTCTTTAATCAGGCCACAATATCAACCACGCAGGGTCGGTAAGTTGGTACCTATACCCCTCCCCAGAGACCCGGAACCCCTGAGCATGAGAGGAGCCTTATGACACTGACCATCTGCCAGAGGCCTCACAATACAGGAGGCCACGGACCAGGGAATCGGAAACTGGGAACTTCCGCAAGATGGGACTGACCAGCACCAGGACAGACCAGAACCAGGGGGAACAGTCAGAAGGAGACCTTCTGACAGTAATGCTGAGATAGACAAGACTAGGGCATGATGGAGGGTGGAATGGGGACACTTGGACATTCGTGTGAGTCACAGAGTTACCAGGAGAAAGGACAGCCTTGGCCTCAGCCAGTGGTGGTCAGGATACTCCAACAGAGCGCAGAACCCTAGTGAGTCTGGAGCACCACCCCCAGGGTGCGCTGTGTCGCCAGGTCCGACGGTCTCAGCCTAAGGTGGGTGGAGGGACATGGCCCGCTGTACCGTGGTTTACTGCTGGTCATCCCTTCCCAATAAAGCCACCAGATGATGAAGCAGCTGTGGCCTCCACCCTTCCCCCTCTACTCCCTGCTCCACCTTCTTAAAGAAGATGTTCTCAACAGTGGTTTAGAGATAGCCAAGCATAGTCTCTGCAGATGGTGCGAAGCCATGCAAAACCCACCACGAAGCAAAGGCTCTTGAGGAAGAGGGACTTTAAAAGCTCTTGCCGCAGCATAGATGGTGGGGAGAAAATACCCAGGGGGGGGGCAAGAGTAGTGTGGGAAATATAGAAGCTGAAGAACTTATCACACATGGACATGAACTAAAGGGGGGGAATGTGGGTGGAAGGGGGTGTGCAGGGTGGAGGGGAATGAAGTGGGGGAAGGGGACAACTGTAATGGCATAATCAATAAAATGTATTATTAAAAAAACTCTCACCAAGGTGCCACAGGGGTAGCAGTGGTCTGTTCACCAAGAGACACATCAGACTATTTCCAAAAGTGCTGGAAAAATTTTTATGAGCACATTTTTTTTCTTTTTCTTTTTTTTTAACTACAAAAAATCTCAAACACATACAAAAGTAGACAATAGTGTAATGAACTTCCACATACCCAGCACATGCAACTTCTTTTTAATTCTCTTAAAATTAAAGTAGATATGTTCACCTGGCCACACCTAGCTGGTATGGCCTGCCTGAGCAGTGGCCTGCTAACCAAAAGGTCACAGGTTGGATTCCCAGTCAGGGCACCTGCCTGGGCTACAGCCCAGGTTACCCAGTCAGGGGAGCTTGAGAGGCAATCACACATTGATGTTTCTCTTCCTCTCTTTCTCCCTCCCTTTCCCTCTCTCTAAAAAATAAATAAAATCTTAAAATAGATATGTTAAATAAAGCATTTGGGGTAGAAGCCTATTGCAAAATCAAATAATAGGATTTCACAGCTCGCAGACAATCCAATACGCCCTCCTCTCCTTTTTCTTGCCATTAGGAGGTTAGATTTTCCATTTTCTTTTCTTTTATAATTTACCTCCTTTACTCTCACTCAGATGAAGAGTTTTACAATATGTAAAAGGTGAGCAATTTAATTGTCAAAAACAGAGTAATTCTGGCCTATCAACTTGACTGTGTGGCCATCAATAAATATAATAATTATAAAGACTACATGGCAGGGAAAGGGTTGTCGGTGAATAATAAATGCGGTGGGCATAGAACCGTGTGCACACAGCGGCGGCGGCAGCGTGAATATACACAGTACATGTGCATAAACAAAAACTGGAGGGGAGTAGAAAATAAAGCCAGCTTTTATGTCAGGTGGCATATTTGGAGCTGATTTATGTCTCATTTCTAGAGCATTCCTTTAATGCTCTGATAATACTGTTTTCACTATAAACCCCACTTGGGATGGAACCTAAGAACATTAGTGTTCGGTAAAGCCGTGACTTCACGATGGTCGGAGGGGCCAAGGGGAGGTGTAACACTATCTTTCCTGCTTTCTCCCTGCGCCCAGAGCTAGACTCTGCAAAGATGGCTGTTGGGGCAAACCACTCACAGCTGAGAGTGGGCAATGTGTGGCCTCCTCTGCTTCTCCACCCACCTCGCTGCATTCAGGTCAGAAAAGCACACCCACCCGCACATTATTGATTAGAGCTGCAGTTATAAATGTAATAATTCCAAGATATGCCAATATAGTAAACCACAGGGCTCATTACAATACTAGCTCACATGTATATGGATTTCCTGTGTATCAGGCACTGTTTTAAGCCTTTTTCATGAATAAAGCCATTTAAGCCTCAATACCACCCTGTAAGGAGCTTTTATTATACCCATTTTATAGACGAGAAAACTGAGACATGGAGAGTTTAAGTAGTTTGCCCATGATCACGCAGGTTTTATGTTGGTAGAGCCAGGAGCCAACGTGGGCAGTGAAGCCTCAGGGCCTCTGCTCCTAATCACCACGCACCGCAGAGGGATGGTGCTGCTTTTCCAGGAGAGGAACTAGCAGCACCACGTGGTGAACGTCTCTTATCTGGGGCATTCGACACGCCCCAGTTCATTCGCTATTTGTGACAACTCTAGGAGCTGACCATTATAGTCACCCTTTTACAGATGAGGAAACAGAGGCTCGCAGAGCTAAAGTATTTGCTCCAGATACACAATCAGTAAAAGGCATAGCTATAATTTTACGTTGATTTTAGAGAGACAGATAAAAGGAGAGTGAGATAGACCAAAAAATACGTCAGTTTGTTAATTCACTTATTTATGTATTCACTGGCTGACCCTTTATGTGCCCTGACTAGGTATCAAACCTGCAACCTTGGTGCATCAAGATGATGCTCTAACCAACTAAGCCACCTGGCTGGGCAAGGTGTAACTATCATTCAAGCCCAGATATCCTGGCTCCAATGCCTATGTTTCTGTGTTTTGTAATATTTCTTCTGGGAGAACTCATCACTGAAAATATGATAACTATTTCTAAAAATGTTTTTATTAATAAATTATCAAATCATGTTACAAATGTGTAACACTTATAGCCATCAATTCTCTTCTTGAATATTTCAGGTGAATTGGTCTTTTTTTTTTATCGTTAGAAGGGAAGAGAAGGAGAGAAATATCGATGTATGGTGCTTCTGGTTCATCCCCTGCTGGGAACTGGCCCCTGCTGGGAACTGGCCTGCCACCCAGGCATGTGCCCTGACGGGGACTTGAACCTCAAACTTTTGGTTCACGGGCCTGCGCTCAATCCACTGAGCTACACCAGCCAGGGAGAATTGGTCTTTTAAGAAGATTTTTCTAGCGCTGGCTGGTGTGGCTCAATGGACTGATTGCTGGCTTGCAAATCAAAGGGTTGCCAATTCAATTCCCAGTTATGATGTGATGCCTGGGTTGCAGGCCAGGTCCCTGGTGGAGGATATGTGAGAAGCAACCACACATTGATCTTTCTCTCCCTCTCTTTCTCCACCCTTCCTCTCTGTCTAAAAATAAATAAGGTGGGTTTTTTTTAAAGAAGATTTTTTTCCAAGTAGACTATTTTGTGCTAATTCTTACTGCCAGCCTGGGTATATGTACACCGTGCTGCATCTGAGAGTGGGTGATGCAGGGCACGGTGTCATCTGTCATAGTTGACTCTAAGACACTGGACTAATATTCGGAGCCAGAAAGAACGATAACGCTTTGGAATTCTCATTAAATCATTACTCATTAAAAATGTATTTGGTTTTTGAAAAATGATCCACTTTGACTAAAATAACTAGTATTTGCCCATAAAGAAAACAAGTTTGTTTGCATTTCCACAAGATATGTAT